AGTCTATCGTTTTCTCACAGATGAGACCCCCTTTTCAATAAATGGGGACTGCACTATTTCAATTATTACCATAATATAGAATAATTTCCAACTCCATGTGTTATTGCTCATCGTGGAAACTGATGAGAGTTTAGAAAAAGGTGACACTTGAATGAAGACTTCCAGATAGAGTCTGGTGAGTTTGATCTTTAGGGACATATCAGAGTCTTCTCTGTGAACAGTGTGTTTGAATCAGCAGATGGCGGGTCACACTGGCGGTGTGATGACAGGATGTGAACCTGTGGCGGTGGAGGGGAGCTGTGTGTGTCTGATGGAACAACAGGAAACATGAGGCTGCTGTTGCTGTGCGGAGGGCTGGCCCCACGGTAGTGACTGGAGTCAGGTAACCACCGGACCCACCGACTCTATCCCTCCTCTCACACGGGGTTAGACACGGAGGGAGGCAGCAGCTCTCCGGGACCGACTCCTGACTCTTTTTAAAACCAACAATGTGGAGACTTTCTCTCCGTGAAACCGTGTAGACCTTTAAAAGTTCGCTGAAACTCACCGACGCGTCGATATTCATGTGACGGGCTCCGCGTCTCTCTCCGTCCGCAGAGGAGACTCAGGTGTTCGGCGACACGAGGAAGAAGTTCACGTCGTTCTTTGAACTCTGCTCCACACCGTATTCACGAAGCTACGTAGAGGACTTATCCGTCGGTTTTCGCTGCTTTTTTTTAAAATCGTGTCTCCACTTCTCCGCTTGGTTTCGTTTCACCTCGTTATACTTGGAATATCAAGTGGCCGAGTTTGAGCAGGTACGTGCATTTTTAGCTCATGTCGAGCAAACTCTCCTCTGTTTGAGTTTGGGCAAAGTTTGTGGGCTACGTGGTCGGTTGACACCTTTTGAAAACGGGCCAAGCGGTGAAAGTGAGCCCAGCCACAGAGCAGAAGAGCCCCAGCAGCCCCTGACTCGACTGACCTCAGTTAAGCAGTTTTTAAAAAGTCATATTTTTCTGTTTAAAAGTCCCTTGTTATTTCTGACACTTTAATCTCCTTAAACCCTGACCTAACCTCATTAGACGTACAGTTTGCATGTGGAAACAGACGGGAGTTGTAAAGGTGAGTGACCAGCTTATCATAGTTGCGGTAGTATTTATCTTTAAAGATAAGCCGTAATGTGTGTATACGGAAACCTGTGCCTCTTTCTGCAAAAGCATCTAGCCCTGCAAGGCATGTGCAGCAGTTTCACTTTGTGATGCAGTGGTAAAGATAGTGAGGCTATCCTCTGACATCTCTCGCCACCAACACACCCCCTACACACACAAGACACACAGCAGGCAGTCAAGATGGAGTTCTTCACATCACATAAACCACACATTTGATTTGTGACTCATACGTTGTACGCAAATCACCTACTTTATGGCAAACTGCAAAGCTGTCTCAACACTTTTCACCTCAACTAGATTTATAAGAGCCAGTTTCTAACTTGAGACACATCAAACAAACTCTGCTTGGCATGCAGCTGAGTGTGCTTATTTACAAGCAGAGGCCCCAGCAGGGAGCTCCTGACATGGCTCTTCTTCTGTCAGGCTGAAGAATCGAGGGCCTTGAGGCCAAATCCAAGGGGTGTTGCTCACCTCTGGCTTAATCTACCTCTCCGGAAAGAGTAACTTCTTTTAAAGTCTGTTTACAGTTATGCTTAGGCCTGAGGTTTCAAAGAGAAGTCGCACATAAAGGATCACAGCACAGGATGCAGGGGACTGTAAATGTCACAGCGGCCAAAGAAATCAGCTGTTAACAGATCAGTACTGCTGTTTTATGACACAGTACAAATGAATCCTGGTTTAAATATTGCCATCCGACAACACCTTCTTTCCTTTGACATATCTGTGAAATTTTTATCATGAATGCGATGTAACCCAATGCTTGCTGAGGTTATACTTATCTTGTGTAATAATCAATTAAGATATTTCATGTTTATCTAAAGTGCTTTGTGGAAAGAGAATAAGCAAGATTCTAGGTAACCAAATAGCAATACCTCTGTTAAATCTGCTACCCTATTTGTTGCTACTTAGCTGAAAACTTTTGGCTTTGATGCACATGAAATACAAAATAATGCCCAGCTGGATGTGCAAGTCGCTCGTAAAGCAGTTTGGTTTTGATATGAATCCGGGGAAATCTACCCAAAAGTTCAAAAAGAAAGCAAGAAGGGTAGAGTGGGCGAGATAGCTGTTAAAGACAGATAAAAGGGCAGGAGAAACTGTGTGGTCGTCAGCACCACCAATCAAGAGTTTTATCTTTTCAAATCCTGTTGAAGGGAACAGGAGAGAGTCAGGCTCTGACAGAGGCAGGGGGAGATTTAAAAAAACGAAAGATAAAGGGAAGCTGGGAAAAGAGTAGCTTGGAGTGATGAAATCCACAATTTCTTTGCTTGGCAAACTGGATGATGGATGAATTTGCAGCAGGAGGGAAATTTCTAACTGCCACATTGCCCCCAGCATATCTCTCTGTATTTCTGCCCATCCTCAGTTCAAATGATTTTAGATGTTTCAAGTACGTCCTCCCCTTACATACTATAACATTGTCGTCTGAAACAAACCTCTGGGATTGTGCAATTCCATGTTTCAACTAAGCTGTTCACATGGTTCTGAGTTTACAGTTGATGCTGGCTAATAAAAGTTCCTCCATGTTATGTCACAATGTCAGAGGTCCATCTTTATCGCCCTCTCTTTATGTCACGTTGCCACTAGTCTGATGATCTGTGTACACTGCACAACCACATCATGCTTCAAGCTGTTATTATTATGGCTTAGCAGAAGATTATAGTCAGACAGCGAAGCAAGTACAAAGATGGTGCATCTGGAAACAACAGATCAGGAACACACTTGCCAGGCAGGAAGCTTTTTGGTGGTAGAGGGATCTTAAGTGAAAAATGAATGGAAGTGATGTATAATAATGCATCACACATCACACACGCGTTCTGCGTGAAGAAGTTATGCTGAAGAAACTCTTATATTTTATGCATTCATGTATAACATACTCCAGGCATTATATTAAATGGTACTTGGTACATTAATTTAGTATATTGCTTGTTCACATGTTTCATATTTCAGAACATAACATTTTTTGAAAAGCATCAGAGGCCAGGATATTTTAAATTTTAGTCACTTGCATGGGTCAAGTTTTGAAAAATGCATTAAGCACTTCCCAAAATGTCATATTTCTGTTTATTAGACAGCATGTTTTTCCAAACTTATCATTGGTTTATAATGCTGGCCATCTATTAAAGATCTGTAGTTTCCTATCCTGAGCTGAAATCACCCTGAGCACTCTGACATCACCAGCATTTTTTTCATAGTCATCTCCTCAAGTAAAAAGCTGCACAAATTTGTACAACTGTTTTTCTTTACTCATGACAAATAAACTCATATTTAAGTTTAAAATGGGTAGAGTGCCCCTTTAATAATTTTTGTTTCAGAGTAACATGCAGTAGTTCACAGTACACGCTAGCCAATAAGGCTTTCAGGCAGGTAACAAGTAGTTAATGGAAGATAACTTGCAGGTGATTTCTAGTCAGTTGGAAGAGTAGCTGCAGTTTCAGTCTTTTAGTTTTTCTTTGGCAAACTGCAACTCAAGTGTTCAGATGGTGCTTTGCAGCTGCTTGTGTACCTATGTGTGGTATTCTTTTCATTTCCAATAATCTGTTGACTTAAAGCCTTAGAAATCCTAGATGACAGTTGGTGAGAAAAGGGAGAGGATAGAAAACATTTACCTTCTTCAGTTTACTCTGTCTGTGTTGGACACCCAATGAATGCCCTTCTTTTGACACCAGCAACAATGTATTAGTCAAGCAGACAAGGGTTAGACAGTAATGTGTTATGGTTTTGATCTGACGGGAGAACCTCAAGAAAGTGTGAAACTGTCTCTTGACAGGATGATTTTTTTGTCTTCTCAGAGTCTCAGCATTTACCAATATCTTTCTCGTTTATATATTTTCTAAGTTCAGTCATAGATTGTAGTCTCTACAAAGGAAAGTGTGAAGGATATATATCCCCACCAGGGGAACACCATGATCCATCTCTGATAACTGGAAAGAATATGTTTTGCCCATGACTTCGTTGTAGACTTCTTTTAGAGATCTGGCTTTCGCTGGTGACTAAGAACAACGTCAGCTTCCTTTTTTAAAGAACAAACTGTGAAAGCCACCGTAACAATCATAATGCCATAAATTATAGGTAACTCAGTAATTAACCTCACGTGCAGTGCTTTTATAAGCCACTTTTCTCCTATAATACAGTACATGCACCGTCTCTTATATACATTGAATTGTATTTGAATGGTGACGCATCAATTGCTGACACAAAAACTGAGGTGCATTTGAATGGTAATGTTGCCACTTAGCTTAGCAAAACTATTGAAAAAACTGTATAATCACTAATAACAAATCTTATAAAATGAACTTTATGAGTTGATTCTATCAGTTAGGACATTTGTGACCCCCTACCTCTACTCCTCTTCCTAAAATGGCAGCTCATTAATCCAATGCACTTTACAAAGCAACGGTTAGAAAACCAACATATAGTCTAGCTTCTCTTCTGGATGTTCACATACTAGTGTGGTTGGGGTTTTCTATTAATGAGTAAAAGAAAAATAGTGCAACCACAAGCCTAGTAATAGTGTGTTTACTAGGTTATAGTGTCAGGTTAGCCAGCAAGCACACCTCAGAGGAAACAGAGTAAACCACTGTAGGCAACAATTACATAAGTGATGTTTGTTTGCGGCAGTGTCTGTTTGTATTTGAGTACAAGTACTCATTAGAAATGGGATGTCATAGTCTACATGTGCACAATTGACTGAACACAACAAACCATTAATGCATAGCATAACTAGGCAGGCCTATTTTTTGGAGTGTGTAGATCTCTGAGGTGTGACAGATTGTTGTGTCACAATTTATTGAGGCCAGCAAGCTGTCTAATGTTACACATCATTCCAAAGCTGCAGCTAATGTGTGATGATGATGTCTAGTCAATTAAATGTCTTATCACTGCCAATTCCCATCTAATTTGGAATAAATTCACCTGCTGCTTAAAGGTACAGTGTGTACAATTTTGTGATATCTAGTGTTGAAATTGCTGATATACCCATCCAATTTTGTTTGTTTGATTTTGGTGGCTCTGGTTTTCTTCTGGGTTTTGGTGGAAATGCACACATGCGTTTTTGGGGATGAGATACTTGTTTTTCATGTCTATTGTTATCTTGAAGTGTGCTGTGAATACCTTTATGCATCTCTAAACTTTCTTTGTTTAATTTCCACTCATCAATGAAATGCAGTATTTATTCTAAATCTAACGTTTAGACATGATTGTCTAGTTGCACACCAGGCAGCAATCCACATTCCCCAAAGATGTCATTCTGGCTGGTGGTAGACTCATGTTATTAGCCTGCCCAGGTCAAGAAACAGTATCTTTTGTAAATATGTTTATAACCTTGGTTGAACACATTAAGTTGCCATGGAGAGGAGAGGTATTCCTCTGTACCAGCTTGTTGAACCTATTTCAGCCTCGGTGGTGGAGTGAAGTCTTGAAGACCTGTTGAGTTGTTACTGAAACCCCACAGTGTTGGGTCCTGGGAACTTTGCATGACCTTTAACCTTGGTCCAAAATGGTTGTGGAACCAAACATTGATGAAAAATGAATGTTAGGTAAATGGTATATGCTTCAAGTTCATTTTAAGCTTATAAAACATCCCAGACACTTGCATGCTAGATCAGAATCTATCAAAATAACTTAAGTCTGGGTTTTTTATCTAAGGGAGA